TTCCCTGTAAGGACTTCTCTGTTGACATCCACCCCTTGGCGCTCATATGACCTTATGCAGTTGCGAGCGCCGTAAAACCTCTACTAAAACTAAAAAACCTGGTTGCCATAACGCTTCGGTTCCTTCTGCTCTTACAAGATTTCTAGTAGCAAAACCAAGGTCAATGTCAACCTTAGAAAGGCAAGGAACCGGTGTCTGAGGTGAGTCGGTGAAGTCCTTCGCTGTCTACTCACATCGCCGGAGTTTGATTCCGTGACGGGAGAATTCTAATCCATCACCTCAGTCTTTCAGCTGGGACAGTGTATCCCTTGCAACCCACGATCGGCCCGACAGGGTCGACCTCCCCCCCTCCCTGTCCCCTCCTAAATGATCTAAACTGAGCCAATGGCGGCGTAAAATCATCTGACCTTAACGATACGCAGAGAAACAGAAATTAAATCATGGCTGAAATCTTTGCAAAATTTATATCAAAGTGTGAACAACATACGGTAACTTATTGGAAGAAAAAAATGTATGTGAAATGGAATAGACATTATCATATTATAATTTTAGTGGAGCTAAGCCCATAAAATCTACAAAAATATCTGGATCTCTATGTTGCATCCTATATGTGGTTTGTGTTTTTGTTTCGTTTATTGTAAATTCACACGCTACGACAGGTTGATTTTCTTGTCTTCATATAGCGGGAATCAGACATTTCCTTTACAGTTACCGTCATGAAAGTCGGGCAAGAGAACAGCGCCGACAGCTGTTTTGAACCCAACAACCTGTTGTTATGTTGCTATAGCAACAAGTGAAAATGGTGTTCCCCAAATTAGAAAAGACATCAATAAGCTTAGAAAGTTTGCATTTTGTTTGGCGTTGTTTAGATGAAGAAGAAATTCAATTATTGCAATTAAGACGACTAGGGAAAATCGCACACAAAGCACGCGGATGTTTTGGATTGAATGTATCTGAAGATAGTAGGCAGAGCGGAAACGCTGTTCATTGAGTGACCCACTGACGAGCGCACTGCACCGTAAAACAAGGTACGGCCATAGATTTATGCTCCTAGATCGCGCACAGTAAAATCATGGCCGCAGAGCTTCTCTCTCGTAAAAAAATTTTTTTAATGAAGGACAAGACACTAGTCTCGCTATAGTCGAGTC